CCCCCAGCAATGTGACAACGTCTTTTGCTGGAGCGGCAAGATACCTTGTGGCTTCGTTTCTATCTTCAGATCCTGAAGATGCTGTCCCGAGCCCGATCCCAAGACTCATTTTCATAACCAGCACAATTGACCGGTCTGTTCTAGCCGACGAAGCGTTCTTCAACCGATATGTAAGCGCTATGTTGTCATTGGCACTGCTGCTTGTTCGGTACGGCCAGTTACAAGATCTACCTCTGTCAATGCTTGCGGAGAATATTTTTGACGTTGTGCCTTGCCTTGTTCGATTGCTCCAAGGCCCGTCTTCCGTCCGCACTCCCTGTTTGAGGTTACTGCGTTCCATCTTAGGATACGTGGAGCGATACCAGACTTCCTCTTTACTCGGCCATCTAGGCTCCTCTTCATGCGTCGACTTCGTCAACCTTGTCCGGCATCTTGACCAGAAGTCCGAGTTTCCAGAACAACGTGCTGAACTTTGGAAGCTCCTTACTTTATTAGTCAAGGACTCTCAGCAATGGCTGGCCATGGTTATTCTGACTGGCACTGCTCCAGGCAACTCCAAAGGTACCAAGTCAGGGGAGATGCCTACTAAGTGCGTTCACGGGATAACTTTCCTCCAATCTGCCAAGAAGGAGATGGAAGATATTACAACGCTTCCTAGAAACGTTTCGAGGACAATGCTGGAATTCATTCTGGAGGCCCAGCAAAATTGGTCTTGGGTAACAAAGGATCTCTCATCCTCGTCTGAGTTCTTTTCTATGATTGTCTTATCTGTGACCAGCTTTGATCCCAAACGTCACAATGAGATGGATTTGGCGCAGCAAAATTTGATCGCGGCTTGTGTCACGGATATTGCCACAACTCATCTTCATCATGCCAAAGTCGAAAGAGACTTCAACGCCGTCAAAACCTTCTATCCTTTGTTAAATTGGCTCACATCAAATGCCGTCGAAGTTTCCAGCTACAACTCCTCATTACACACCAATATGCGTCGAAACTTTGCCGCCAAGTATAATGGGCTAATAGTTTCCGACATTCAACGCGCCGGCTTAACTGAGCGAGAATACGGTTCAAACTTCTTTTACGATGTCGAATATGCAGATGAGTTGTTGGCCAAAGACTCGTACTGGCAGGGGGCACGTGGGGCGCCCAGTACCCAGTCTTTCTCAGCAGAGTTTAGGCGAGCGAATATGAACCTCTCAGCCGTGGATTCCGAATTGGTGCTGCTCTCAAGCCTCCAGCGCTTTTGTGTTGATCATTGCAGGTTCTTCGTTCAGGATCGCGAGGTCCAGAAATCGATGGCCAAAATTATCCGACACTCTTTACGAGCAAATTCTCGGGTTTATCCGTCTGAAGTTCTCTTCGAGACACTATTCCAAACACGGGCGGATCTGGTAACGGTCCTGCTGCGTGAACTGGTTGCGTTCGGTGTCAAAGGTTCTGACTTTGCCGGCTTGTTGGAGCCCGCCTGGGATGCTGTCAGATTCAGAAATGGGTCCTATGAACAAGCCATCCTCAATAACGACCTCATGTATTGGCGATCGATCGTCTCAATTCTACTCATGACCATGAAGTTTCACATCCACAAAAAGCGAAAGCCAACCATGACTCCCGGTAACTCCACGGCTGTTGTTACTCTCGATCCGGAAAACATGAGATTCCTCGAGATCGCAACTAAAATCGTGGCAGAAGGGTTCAAATCTGCTGTTCTTGCCCTTCAGGATCAAAAAGAAAAGAAATTGAAGACCAATGACGCTTACGAAAACGACCTCATCGGGCCACGTGACATACTGCTCTTGCTGACACTTATTCAAACTATTCTCAGACTTCCTAGTCTCCCTCAATTTTCTGTGGAGTTGTCGGGTCGTCTATCTTCTTCTGGTATCATCTCGGCATGCCTCCTGCTCTATTCGTGGTCTCATATCATCGGCGGATCGGAGAGAGATATTCAACCCCGTTACGCTGAATATTGTGTTCAGCTATTGGCCTCCATATCATCCCTACCGTTTGTCGCGGAAGAGCTTGCCGTCGAGGGAGTCCTCAACCGGCTCCTTTCCTCCAAGACGTCTGAATCACTTCAAAGTGTTCCCGGTGGCGCTTCCCATGCTGATACTCGACTCAACTGCAGCTTCCTCTACCGTTTGTGGGCTAAGGGATTACTTCCACTGTGCCTAAATCTCCTCTATGGCATTGGTGGCGCTATTGCTCCTGAGATATCTGCTTTTCTCAATCGATTCCCCAACCAACTTATTCGTGCAAGCACGAGCTTAATGCTTACGCCCCAAACAAGCTATGTTGGGCCTTATGTGTTAACTCTAGATATGACGAAGGAGGCTACGACTCTAGCTCTAATCTCACGCATCCTTTCTTCATTCCGTAATGCTGGCGCGTCCGCTGCAGTTGATTCTGAAACTGTGCTTCCACTGAAGGGCTACGACGAGCACAGGAAGGCGATAGCAGAAGACCTACGTGATGTACTAGCAATGAAGGAAGAGGCAAGACGTAAGATTACCGTACCATCTGAAGAAAGAGAAATCAGCTGGCAAAACGCGAAGGGCGGTAATTTACTGGATGCAAAGATTGTGGAGGAGCTGAGGATGGCCTTGTCTGCATTGAGCACGGATGATGACCAAGACGAGAAGTAACTTCCACTCAATTATACACTGAATTTCAGACGATGATTTTGCAGTAAGCTCCAGCAAGCGCAGGCGTTGTGCGGGTATCACAAAAGAGAGATATCGACAACTGATTGGGATTGTGCGTCCCGATTTACTGTCGGCCTTGTAATAATTCTAGCAAATTTCCCCCATTTGAAGGGATGAGATTCGCTTTGACTCGTCTGGGGCCGCCGCTGTGAGAAAGCTTTCGATACCAACGAGGCATAATGCCCTCCGCTTCTTCAAACTTCTTCTCAACTGAGTGTTGTCCGAGTGTCTTGTCTACATATGAGTTTGGCAGTGCTTTTTTAGATCTCATCACGTCGGTTGTGGGTGGGCCAATGTGCTTGAATAGCAACTACCTGGATGGACTAGCTAATATTTCGAAGTTTTCTCGATACCGATTCCATGGCTTTTCGACTTCCGGCATGTGCGCCTGAAATGGGGATACATCCTTTTGATGCAAAATCAACGGCAATTCCTGCACCCTATGCCTCGCGATTCCCCACTAACGATTGCTATCTTTCCTTCCAGCGGCGCTGGAATTGTAACTGCTACCTGCTCAACTGTTTCGCACTTACCCAAGGTCTGGGGGATGGGATTGGCTAGTCATCTTGTCCCGAGGAGAAAGAGCAGAAGATCGTTGTTTCTCTCAACTGCGGCCGGTTTGGGCAAGACTGACACCGTGACAAAGTTCAGGCATCAGCGCATGAGCGACTAACAAACCTTTCCATGTCTTCATGCCAGAAGAATCTTGACTACACGTCAGCCACGTTTTTCTAGCTCTTCATATCTAGGAATCTCGGCTTGAAGTACCTTGGAAAGATCCATGCCCGCCGACCTCATCTGCCCAGCTCTCGACCTCCAGGAATCAATCACCATGGACACCCAAACAAGAGGTTTCGTTTCCGGCTCCGTCGCTGGTGTGGGTGTCTTTGACAAATTACTGGTCGCCCGCACGGATACGGCTGTGAAATGTCTGGAGGGAAGGCGCAGTTTGCAGACGTTGGCAGAGCAGTAGAGAATGAGTGCCAACACGGTTAGCTTTTCCAATGTGGGGTACTCGTCGGAGTCTGTCAGGCAGGGATACGTTTGCAAAAGGTCGTGGTAGCGGCGCCTTCGAACACATTTGGTCGATGGGCTAGCCTGTTGTCGCAACTCGAGCGTTCTAAGCCCGCCGACCCTCGCATGAGCTCTGACTTTTAATATCTGGGTTTTCTTGTCCACTTTAATCCAGGAGAGATCATTGACGAAGACGACTTTGCGGGGTTTCATAGCAGCTTTGGCGGCGGCGATTTGACGGGTGTTCTTGGTAGAATAGCCTGTGCTCATCGATGGACGGCAAATCTATACCTTCGAGTATATGCTCGGGCCGTCCATTGTGCATGGCATGATCTGTTTTCGATGGAAATTTCCCTAACTGGGATCTATCCGAAGACATTCACCGTGCGACTGCCAGGCTGACTTTGGGCAAGGTCAGCCTGCAGAATGGAGCATAGCCAGGCATTTTCTACCCCTGCCAGCGATGCGTGACTAGAATAGCCCCGTTCGTATATACATTGACAAATGCTAAGATATGTAATCCACGACGAGCCGTGCGCTTCATCAGTACTCCCAAGCAAAAGATCAGTCAGTCTTCGGCTCGGCGGTCCCCTGGCAGAGGGAGAAGCATAGACGGCATTGGTGGATACTAGAAAGGGCGCTTTTAGGCTGGCCAACATCTTTCGAATGACTACCAACCTTCCCGCCACAGACTTAGCTCAGCGATGGACACGAGGAAAATGAAATAGGTGTAGAGTAGTATCGACCAGTCCGCCCCATCTAGAGAAGATGCAACTTCCTATATCGTATAGCAGCTTCATGGTGGCAATCTGGTGTCAGCCTCGTAGAGCAGCTTACGCAGTATGTGAGGGGAGAATTTGCCTTTGAGATGAGTTCCTTTGCTCTTGATACTCGCTGCGTCAAGATACATGGCTGGATATCTACCGCTAGCTTATTGAATCACGAGAAGGGTGTGATGGATGCTTCTTGAGATATCACTTTGGTGCTTGGTCCTTGTCGCTCTTCAGACTCCTGTGCGTCTGCCAATATCCGCCTTGCTACTGAAAGACATAAGCCTTGTTTGGACTGTGCCTTCGGTCTCAGGCTCGCTTCAATCAGATAGTGTGGCGTGCCCAACCCTCTCTTACCCTATGTCAATTCTCAACGCTACGCTGTCGTTTCGTAGCCATCCCAAGTCTTATGCCCGCTTCTCTGATTGTCAACAAATCAGCGCGCAACTTCCCTCCTGAATTTGTCTGCAAGAAGCGCCAGCCTTGATATGTTCTTGCCTCTGCCTGGCCTGGTTCATAGTCTCACACCCTCTTTTCTCATCCTCTCTCGCGTTGCGTCTCTCAAGTGTCTTCTCAAGATCTTACCTGAAGGATTTTTCGGAATAACATCCACGAATTCCACTCCGCCGGCCAGTCGTTTGTATCGAACGACCTTCCCTTCGATGAATCTCTTGACATCTTCTTCCGTCAAATTTTTCCCGTGCGGCCCAACTTGCCTAACGACAAATGCACGAGGCTTTTCATCTCCGTCTTCGGTCGGCATACCTATCACTGCCGCATCGGCTATTCCAGGATGCTCCAGCAACAAGGCTTCTAGCTCGGCCGGCGCCACTTGATTCCCTTTCACTTTAATCAATTCCTTCTTCCGATCGACTATGTAGAAACACATATCGTAGTCCACATAGGCGATGTCGCCCGTCTTCAGCCATCCGTCCGGCGTTAGAGTACCCGCGGTGGCTTCCGGGTTACGCCAATATCCTTTCATGACGTTTGGTCCACGACACCACAATTCTCCCACCGCAGAGGAGCCGCGAGCTGTGATCTCGGAGGTGCCATCTTCGGTCATTATTTTGGCTTCGCAATTAGGGTTAAGCTGGCCAACTGAGTTAGTCAAGGATATTTCCCTGGGATCCCAGCCAAGAAAGGAGCAAGTGCATCTGACGAACACATTAGTTTTTTTTTGGGCACTAAAGCCATGTCCCTGTGTTTCTTACTCGGTCATGCCATAACCCTGCTTGAAGTTCAAGCCTGTTCCTATCCGCCGTTCAACCTGTTCCGACACGTCTCGGCCTAACGGCGCGGCTCCAGATCCGATATTCTCGACCGAGCTCAGGTCATACTCCTCCACTGCGGGATGCTTGGCTAACATGACTGCAATAGGGGGAACGAGCGTGAAGTCTGTGACGCGGAATTTCTGTGTATATTCCAGAAACTGTATAAAGTCGAATTTGGGCATGACATAAACTGGCACCCCACGGCTGAATGCACCGGCAATGTAGAATGTCTGCCCATACGCGTGGTACAGCGGAAGGAAGCAGAGCCACGAGGCACGAGCGTTGCGCGCTTCATAATCGGGGTCGAGTTTGGCCATTTCATGCACTTGTATTGTGTTGGAAATGTAGTTCTTGTGGGTGATCTCGACGCCCTTGGGAACACCGGTTGTGCCACTGCTGTAGTTCAAAGCCAGAGTAGTGTCACATTCCCCTGGTCCTGTAAGATCATCCCATTGAAATCCCCTGGCGTCTTCTGCCGGCGCCACAAGTTCACTCCAGTATCTGCAACCTTTCAGACCTTGGCTCTCTCCATCGGATATTTTGGAGTTGTAGACAAAGACCCTCTCGGCGACATCCAGGCCAGCTAGTCTCGCGGCTGCAATACCGGTTTCGAGTGACCCTTCAGCACAGAGAAGGTATGTTGCGCCGCTGTCTCTCAGCTGATGTGCCAGCTCTCTCGCGACAAATGTCGGGTTCGCTCCAGAAAATATGCCCCCGGCGCATAAGACGCCCATGAACACCACTGGAACGAAGAGGTCATTGCCACTAAAGAGCAGAATGCGGTCTCCTTTTCTAAAGTGCTTTGACCGCTGCAACCCAAGTGCAAAACGCTGAGCCCATAGCCGAAATTGGTCGCGAGTCAGGTAATGCGTGTCTGGGCGGGCGGCTTCTGAGAATGCGTGCTTGGAACCCAGCGGCGTGGTAGGCGATTTGAACAGGAAAGTCGGTAGAGAGCATTGCGGTATGGCCACCGTCCAGTTGGATTTATATGGCATGGTGAAGACTGAAGATCAAGGGAAGCCGCAAGACGAGAATGAGGCGACAGGTCGATTGTGTATTATATGTGCTATAGTAATTCGCCCCTGTCAGAGTCACTGAACTACATGCCTTCGTTTGGTGGACTTTAGCCGAGACGGATTCAGTGTGAATGAGAGGGATGGCCGAAGCACCAGTCAATGTAGCTGCCGAGGCCCATAGTGAATGGAGAGAAGTTTAGTCGGATGAGATCGAGTCTAGTCAAAGGCACTAGAATCACATTCAAACCAACAATGAGACTTTTCTGGGGCAACAGAACTGGGCGACGAGCAGCGACGAGTCAGGTACAAAGCAAAAGGATGGAGGTGAATACGAGACCAAGTTCAAGTTGCCGAGGTTTGTTTAAGGGAGACTGAAAGACCTGGAGATGCATAACGGTGAATCAGGGTGCACAAAGTCCCTAATGCATGTTGTATGCGGGGAAGAACGGCATTCTTATTATTATTAAATGTCATTCAGTCTGAAGTGACCTCGCCGCTAGGTAATACAAGCCAATTTCTAGGTAAAAGATCTGACCAGAGACTCTCTCGGCTCCATACGGGACATTTTATCGTGGGAAACACCTGGTCGCCAACTCCAAGACACCGTGCCCAAAGTCCAAGTCGTTACAAAAAGGATCTCTGTACTCATTCAGAAATCCTTACCCTTCTCCCTCAAATTGAGTAGTTCACGCCTCGTAACTGGCCCCCGGGGCCAATCCATGCTTCTCGTACAGCTCTTCGGGTCTTCTGCCCAATCGACCGGCACTGCTCCTCAGCTTGCCGCTCCTGGCACCAATGAGAGGGGAAATCCATTGGTCCTCGACCGTGCCGCCCATCATCTTGTCCCCTTTTTTAAGGTATGTTGTCGCGCCCAGCAATGTCGGTTGGAAGTTGACGTAGATGGCCTCCCAATGCTTGCGGTCTACCTCGAAGATTTCGTGGTTGATGCCGATATGATTGTTTTCTTTGACATGTTTGTTCCACCAGTCCCAGCCTTCGCGATGCAGGTCGCCGTACGCGAATTTGTGGATATCCTCTGCGGACCGCCAGTAACTGAGGTTAAGCACCTCCGTGGCGCCGTTCTTGTCCTGGCTGGTCCAAGTGGAGCCGCCATAGAACCCTAGGTCGGTGTTCTCGGCCTCGAGATCTTCGATCATCTTGGTCAGATAATCGCCAACCGTCTTGACGTTCGGCGCGAAAATCCCCATGGGGTGATTAACTTTGGCTCCCAACATGAAGACGGCTAGTTTCTCTTCCGATGCTTCCTCGTGGAAACTGCCATCCTCGTCCGGGATCTGCGGAGAAGTGCGGTACAGAAGAGCATCGTCGAGATAATGGTTCCTCTTCCTGCCCCAAGTAATGGCCATAGTCTCTGCTAGACGAGCTCCGAGGACAAGAATAGAGGGAAGCATGGCGTAGAAGCGGGGTATGACCAAAATTACAAGGGACTGTAGCAGAGCCCCAAGAAGCATCCATGTCGACACGGAAAAGTTTTCGCGGATGGCCTTGGTAAGTCAGTGGTTTGAACCACAAAGGGGCCTTATCAAAGGGACTCACATAAAATAGTCGTGTGCTAGCGCTGGGCCAGTTAGACTGCGACCTAGGCCGCTTTTCGAACGGAGGTAGTGTACTCTTGAAAGCCATGTTGATAGCAAAGTCCAATGGATGTTGGAATCTACCTCATATAAGTACTCTGTGTTAGGATGTTGAGATGCAATGCGATGAGATTTAACGTGATGGATGCTGATGTTGAATTCAAGGGCGGGGTGAAATCAAGACTTCTTTAAATTATGGTTGAAGTTGTGAATACTGCTCTTCCACACGCCATGACCAAGCATGCGGCATTGCCACAGCTTCCTTTTTCGTGCTGATCGCATAATGTACAGTGTAAACTCGCACGAAACGAGTTGTGAAACCAGCGAGGCTGCTCGTGGGCGAGTGACTAACGCACGCGAGCCGGGGTATCAGTTCGAGCGGCGGAGCTGTCAGCGGGCAAGAGCCAATTCCTGGAAAGAGGGCCTCTGCACAGAACGTTGGCTCGAGCAACACAGCCTCAACCCAGCTGTGTAGGAGGTCCGTGTGGATAGCAACACCTCCGCAGGCTGGAGGCAGCAACGGGTTGACTATCGACCGTGTCTTCTGAAGGTGCATTTAAGGCCGTAAGAGGATACAATTTAACAGGCTCCCGACGGCAGGAGGAATCAACATGGTGGTCGTGGTGGGGGCGAGGGTTGACCTAAGTCAGGATAGCGCTGTTAATATTCCTACGCTTGTGCATTGTCCAGGTAGGCAACATTCTCTGGCCCCCTTAATAACATTGCGCAGAGTATGTCCCATTCGGCCGTATAGAACGGAGTACGGTGCACCGAGTACTTTGTGAGATTAACTTCCGCGGGGTGCAACTTATATCAGGGCAGCTGATGTCTGAGTTTCTCCGCTTTGCACTCCGTATCACGCCTTGGTAGATCCCAGGAGGGCCAAGCTTACCCGCTTCACGGACCCAACATCCGAGAGGGGCGGCAATTCAAGGAACGACAGCTGTTTTGACACGGCGGATTCGGAAGAACAAGACGTTCATGCCTCCCACCGACGGGTTTCTTGTTCATCTCGCACTCTCCCAAGTCCCATCTTTCGAATCTACTGGTGCCTGTTATGTCTATGTCTAAGAGTCTTACTCTATCATGTCATTTGCAAGATCCGTTAGGTCCAACTCCGGTGTTTCATGCAAGCCAGACGAAGCGTGCCAATGAAAGTGCCCATCAAAATGCTCAAAAGCCTACCAGACTCATGATGCAGCAGCTTTTGGTGTCTTGACAGGAGATCCCAATCCGTTCCGGTTGCGGAAGAACAGCACGCCCGCGTCATCCCCAGTGGCCCCCTCCATGGGTTCAACCCAGTTACACCATCGCATCGACTTCCACAAGCTTTTCAAGAATCCCAGGGGCCCCCCTTCGGTATCACTTCGATAGTGACGGCCCATAACCTTCTTGATGGCTTCGCTGGCCTCATCGGCGTGGTAAAATGGAATGGTGCTGACATAATGATGAAGAACATGGGTCTCGATGATTCCGTGGAACAGCTGGCGCCCAATGAATCCGAATTCACGATCGATTGTGGCTGCGGCTCCACGGGTATAGGTCCACATCTGGGGAGTGTAATGGGGAAGAGATGGATCCGTGTGCTGCAGGAAAGTGATTGCCACTGTTTACCTGTAAGCAAAGACGTTGGGGCGCACTATTTCGGCTCCGTATGACTCACCTAACCAATGATTGACCCACAAGTATGGGGCAATATACCAGACAGCCAGATTGGAGAGACCATAAGTCTTGCCAACCCAGAAAAGGATGCTTCCCACTGCGAGAAGTCCAAGATCGCTGAGGAAAATCAGCTTGGCATCCTTCGCCTCATACAAGGGGCTGGCAGGGTCAAAATGATTGACTCCACCTCCAAACCCGTTGTGCTTGCCCACCCCGCGGCCCTCACGCTGAACTTCATGTTTGTCGTGGCCGGTGACATTGGTAAACAAGTACATCGGCCATCCGAAGAGTTGTTGGCTGACCAAGTGGTACGCAGTTGCAATAGGGGTTTCTTCGGTAAGCTCATCGAGCTGATGTAGCAGCCATCCTCTTCGGGTGAAGTATTGCTCCTTGGTCGCGGGGACAAAGACCATGTCTCGCTCCATGTGGCCGGTGGCCTTGTGATGCTTGCCATGAGAGATCTTCCAGGAAAAGTAAGGCACCAGAAGCGCACTGTGACAGATGAAGCCGACTGTGTCGTTCAGTACCTTGCTGGGCGAGAATGACTGATGTCCGCACTCATGAGCCAGCACCCACAGACCGGTGCCGAAGAGGCCCTGTACAACAGTATACACGAACCACAAACCAGCTCTTAACGGAGTGAATGGGACATTCTCGGGAGTCAAAAAGCGGTTGAAGAGATAGAAGGTAACGGCAAGGGAGATAATGTCTCGAGCAACATAGTACAGCCCAGTGGTGGCAGATCTTCTGAAACAATGCTTGGGGATGGCTTTGTGGATATCGCCGATGGTGAAGTCGGGGACTTCGAAGGGGTTGCCGTAGGTATCAAACAGCTGCCTTTTTCCAGCTTTGTGTTTGGGAGGCTCAGCAAGAGCATCTTCCGAGGCGAGAGAGGACAAGGAGGTCGAGGAAGGGGAGGATCTCGGACTATCGAGAGGGGAGATGTTCGCAGAGGAGGTCGGAGTGGAGGTGGCGGTCGCCAGACGACGCAGGACTGCCTCAGCGGGCAGTGAAGTAGAAGTCATGGTCTATCTGATAAGGGACTCTGGAATAGAGGGGAACGAGGTGAATATTCAATCTTGAACTGAGACGAGGTACTGTACGGAGGACAGGACAGAAAAGGAAGAGCCTGGGATAGGTCGGGCCTGAGCGAAGCAGAAGGTGAAGGCTGCGGCGACAAGGCAGGGTTAAATGGAGCTTCTGAGCTTGAAGGGAAAATAATAATATTAAGGCTCAATGGGCCATATTCTTTGGGGCAAAGGAGTGTACCTACGGAGCACTGGCAGCGAATGAGCAGAGCTTTCCTATCGTAGAAATCGTGCAGGCGCAGGGCAGTGGAGAGAATGTGGGCAGCGGGCAATTCGTTTTTTTTTTGGGCAAGGAAAAAATTCGCATGATCCATGAATCTCAACAAAGTCCCCCTAGGGCTAGTGCGGCAGGGGCAGTCAGGGGGCCAGCAACTAACATCGAAAGGCGGCCATTTAGCTGCTCGGTTGTGCCTGGGCGGTGAGAGACGATTGCAGGGCCTTCATCTGGACCGCGAGGATCGCCCACAGCACGAGCCCGTTCTTTATTGGCGAAGGGCAGGGCAGAACCGAGTACACTTCAAAAGTAAAAACAAAAAAAAAAAAAAAAGGAAGGCACGGGGTGACTACAGGTAGTACATATCATTGTGTGCAGTACCTTGTGTAAGGTGATTGACCAAGGCTAGGTAATTGGATTAGGCTGTTGTCACGAATAGGCGCTCAGTCAGTTTGAGGTTGGGGGTTGGACCACTGCTACTTTGTATTTCCGCAGCGAGTTTGTTCGGACGGCGACACATCTGGAGTCGGTCTGTCAGCAGGTGCCCCAATGTGGGACTGCCTGGCTGGCACATTTTGCCGGTGAACGCTGAGCAGGATACCCTCCTTGTGCGGTGGTGCTCTCCATCATCCCACCGTGGCTTTGGATGGACGGTTTGCCTTCTTCGTTGACCGGTCTTTGTTTGATCTCGGCCTTGCCCAACTCTTGGACACTCCAGTCTTGCCAGACTCGCTGGCGGCTTGGACTCGTCAATCAAAAAGACGCTGACACATTCGCCAGGATGTTGCGCGTCAGTTGGCGGTTGGGCGCGTTCGACCGACCGCTGATGGTCACCACCTCGCGCACATGCTGGATTCCGTGCCGTTTACTCGGTATTGCGGACTGGTTAGAGGACACCGTTGCCAATCGATTCAGGCCATTTGGCATGTGCAATAGACCCTCGCCCGGCAATATCGTCTTTGAAAATTCACATGCAGATGAACCTCGATTACTTGTAGATGTCGCTCCCAGAGCTCGTGCCTCGGTCGAATGGGGAAGGTTGAAGCATGACGAGCTGATCAGACAACTAGCTGAAGCCCTGGCTTGTCCACCGAGATTTGAGTTGGCGGTCAGTCTCAGGGTCACGGGAGGCATGGATGCTGCTGGTTTGTGGTATGCAGGGTGAAATCGGAATTCCCACGAAAATGATTTTGTTGGGGAGCTGAGACCTGACGCTAACCTCGGACGACTTTGGCTGCATGCTTTGTGGGTGGCTCTGACTCCGCTGAATGTCGTCACTCCACCCTGCCAATCCACCAAATCTGTTTGTAGGGGTGGCCATCGGTTCGTGCCGAGCACGGACCCTGCGACTGGACCTAGCAGCTGTAGTCAAGGTTTCTGGAATGGCCCAAAGCGAGGCCGTTCCTGGCGCTTAGTGTCACTACACAGTAGTAAGGACATTCCAAGCTGCGGCTCAAAATTAATTCTCGCTTTGTTCCATGCCATCGCGGAGAGTGGTCATGGCGGTGAAGAGCATGCCAAAATTCCCAGCTGGAGCTCAACCCACTCCTCCACGGCTCTCACTCGCGACCATTTTGCCAGTGCCCTCATCCGCTATCGCTCCAAACACCTCCACGGTGGTGCCCCGCAAATCTGGGGTAATGAGAACGCTCCGACCATAGGCGGGATTCTGGACATCAGTCATGACATCGATCCACTCATCCTTGCTGCTACTCCGGACCCGTCTGCGACATTTCATACCGATTGTTGGAATGAGTATGTGTCCGAGATGTTGCGGAAACAGGACGACGGGCATACGGACGGACCTTGAACCCAGCTGCACATTGCCTTTGCGCTTTCCCCCAATCAACCACGAGTCTGAAGGAGCAGCGATCTCGAATGATGCTTCGAATTCCCCCTCTACTTTGCTTTCGAGTTTCATGACGATTCCAGCCAGTATTGGCTGGCCAATTGTTGCAGTCGGGTGTGTCGGGGTTGACCATTGGGCGTCTAAAAATGCAGAAACAAGGAGTGGCCGCGGAGGTATGTCGACAAACAATCTGAGTTGCCGTTGAGGGACTTTCGAAGACGAGAACTTGATCGCTGGCGTCCGAGAATGCCAATCTCGAAGCCAATCTTCAACCTCAGCTCTTCTTTTCCGATCAAAGGCACACAAGACTGATGGCCACTCCATATCCTCCATCTTCCACATCTCGAATTCTTGTGTTAACCCTGCAACTTCTACATCTTGCTCTGTCCATGTAGTACGAACACGATCCAGCAAATGTGATGTCAGAAGCCGGGCGGCAAAAGCGTGCTTGGAATTGGCAATCTCCTTGGTAAAGTGTGTCTCGAGGATGGCCAACATCACACCGTCTAGAGACTGGAAGTCAACCACAAGCGTTAATCGGTTAGTGGCATTAGCAGTGTCTTGGTCCATTGGAACAAGCCGGACTGTCCAGTTGGCAGGTTGCTTCGGGAACACCACGAATGGCTCATCGAAGCTACCTCCTGCAACCATGTCATGGGAGTCATTCTTCTCCAGACTGCAGCCAATGAGACGAAGGGGCACCATGGTTGAAGGGACAATGGTGAACCTGGAGTACATGCAATCCTTACGAAATATATCCTGTACATTGACAGTGACAGGCAAGATCACCTTAACAAAGGCTGTATCGTAAAAGGTGAATATTCCTTGATCGGTCTCGTAACTAGCCTCAATTCGCAGCGTTATGGCCGGCTCAGAAGATGTCTCCATGGTGTACGGGATCTCGATTTCCGTGACCGACAGAGGGGCCAAGTTGTTCATGACCATCACCAGAGCGTCACCTTCTCGCGTCGTCCGCATTTGATTCGACTCGTGTCCATTGCCTACCGATTTGGAGTCGAAGATGTTGAGCCTCAGCCCAGCTGTCGCTGTCCTCAAGCGGAGTTTGGCCTGCTTGACATTATTCTGGCCGGGCCTGACCTGCAGTAGCAGCCGCCGAACCTGTGCCAAATGAATGACAGGAAAAGGGTACATCTTGATTCCAAATGATCGGTAGCTGGGGTATAAAAGAAGCGGCACCACATCTGCTCGAGGGCTAAGGGAGTCGTCGGATCGAGCAGCTTCATCATCTAGACCTGATTTGAAGTGATGTATGAGTCTCAAGTTGCCAATGCAGACTTCGACCTCATCTGGTATGTACCAGCCATGAGCCGTCACGGGAGTCTCTAGGGGTATGGTCTTGTCCTCGGAATCAATGACTACCTTTTGGGAAAGGAAGAGCAATATAGACCGCGGCTCAATGCCGTCTTTAGCAATTAGCCGCAGTTTGATATTGTCGATCGGTGGAGTTGAACTGCCAGAGATACTACTTATATTGATTGAGACAGTAAACCCATCCTTCATGTCCAGAGGAGAAATGTTCCCGGAAACAGCGGAAATACGAAATAGTAATGCCGCAGGAAGGATTGTGGCTGGAATTTTCGGTACGACCTGGAAAAGCTGATCCATGTAATATTGGTTCGCTTCGGAGCCGAACCTTGAGGAAGGGACACAGTCGGCCTTCCTAGTCTGATATAGACAAGAAATAAGACACCTAGCATATTCGCTCGGCCGTGCAAGACTCTTCAGACATTCAGCATAGATGCGGAGGAGATGCTCTTCGGAGAGACGATACGAGGCACGCGGAAGAGGACCAAGAATATTTTCAAGGTAGCGCGCGGCGATAGACCAGTTGCCTTGAGAATATTCCATTTCGACAAGGTCTGCCAATATCTGCTGGGATGTGGATCGATTCTTTGTAGAGGATACAATCCGAAACGCAAGGACGGACAACATGGCATAAAGCGTAACGAAGCTTGACATCGAAGTCGCTGCAGCTTTCAATGTGGCAGACCCCAAGCCTAGGAGAAGCTCGGTGTTGGTGGTGGTTTGGTGTTCGTCCGTTTCTGCAGGGTCGTTGTTGGCCTCGCCGTTCCTAGCGATAGGTTCCATTAGGGTGCCGTTCGATTCCAGAGCATACTGTTTCATATTAAGGACCCACGGCTTCGTAGCCTCCAGATTTTCAATGAAGTGTCTTGCCACGAGTACGAGCTTTGATACCCACAAGGCAAGTCGCGCGGCTCCCGGTCGCGTCGGCTGCATTTGACGCGAAATGGTTCCATTGGGCATGGGTAGGTGTCTCTTGCTTCGTTCCTGAGAGCGTTCACGCGAGGATGACCGCAGGCTAGGTCCAAGGGATATACGTTGGTAACTCTCAGCGGGTCCATGAAGTTGGTTGGCACCGATTGCACCGGGGTCGGAAGACAGCTCAACAGCATCCAGTGCCAAATCCTTGTTGCTGTAATCGACATTAACCTCCAAGGCTGGTAAGGTTTGGGCGAGTGTTTGTATAGCCGCTCGCCACTGCCAGGTGCAGACAATATTGTTTGTAACCGTTCGCTGCGTGTGCAATTCATCTTCACTCAACCCTTCGTGTCCACCCCAGGCATCGTAAAGCTCAAATCGAAGAGTACGGCCGGCGAGGCTTATGAACTGCATGGCTCGCTCAGTCAAATCCGCGACAATGTCGAAATCGGCATCCGCCCTGCCTGACTGAGAGGACTTTCCTGGAACCGGCCGCGCTCGTCTAGTCAGGATCTCCATTTCCCGGGTGAAGAGATATATGCGGAGATCCAAGGCCGATACTTCGTTCGACAGAATGAGGTTGCGGTAGTTCTTTCTTTCGGCATCAAACGGGAAGTCATCGCGATCCGCTGCGAGAATGTGATTCAGGTCAAGAGGCGAGCTCGTGTCAATGTATGAGGGGCGCTGGGACTCCGGGTCCAGCGCTGCCCTCAGGAGATCCTTGGATTCTTTAGAGAAAGTCAACAACGCTCCGCTTTCATCATGATCAGTTTTCTGGGCCTGTTCTTTGACCAGCGCGTCGAGGCCCAGGGAGAGCTCGTCATACACGGCGAGGGCGTCTTCTAGCAAGCCCAGATTTTCAAAGCCTTTGGCGAGACCTTCTTTGAGAACGAGGAACGTGCAGAAATTCCAGCCAGGCAAACTACGTTGGCTGTCTCTTTCTCGGATGTCCAATTCGTATTGGGCGACACGAGCATCGAACGAACGCAGGATGCATGTTTTCAGACTATCCACTAAGTCTTGCCACTGCTCTTCCAGCTCAGCAGATGTCAATGTCGAGGATTTGTCTCCTGGTTCAAGAAGTCGTACCTGAGCGACACGGGCGATGGATGACTTGGAACTGCTGAAATCGGCCCTAAGCTTGTCAAAGATGGTGGATGGGCTTTTGCCAGACCATTTTGATTTGCTGTTGACACTGTCGGTGCTCTCCGAGGCTTCTAGCGAGATGTGCTTTGAAGATTTCGGTTGGCTGGCTGCAGGAGTGTTTGGAAGTATAACATGGACAATCAGCCATTCTGAGGCATCATGATCCTCCTGGCTCCTACTTGACGATTTACCATTACTCAAAGGTGTTTGTGTCTTGACCCACTGGCGGAGCTCTTTCCTGACCTTCTCTTTGTACGTTTCCTTGTCATCGCATCGTAGCAGATATAGTTTGACATAAGGTGTCTCGCGCAGACCAGGTATCTGATGCCTCCGGACATTGGATTGTGCTCCAGCTGATTGTTCTTCGCGTGTCAAAGAAATATTCAGGTTCGAGATCGATCGAAGGGGTCGGTTCGGGGCCTTCCAGTGCAAGTTCCGTAAGGGGCTTCTGGCCGAGAGTCGTGGCTCGAGACGGTCAAATAGGCCGCTTGGATCGATACACTGAATAATCACCTTAGAGTTGGGAGGCGGATGTGCCTCTGGTGCGTCCATGGTAGGGGGAAGGGGATGGACTGCGCAGGATTGGAACAGCTTGGCGGACTCATTGTGGCAGAGCGTCTAGCGAGGCGATCCTGCTCTGCGCTGGGTCGATGAAAGCATACTCTGGCCTACAAGGATGGATGACCTCAGATAGGAATGGAGTACGGAATACAGTACGATGGACACGGAGCCTTGAGAATTACGATACTGCGCTTTTGAGATAAATGATCGCCGGTAGTTACAAGCCTCAATCCACCTAGGACTCAAGCCTTGCAACCTTCTACCGAGGACCCAGTATGGCAAGGCTGTTTCAAAAACTCCACTTCGTTGTCGGCCACATTGAGGCCACATTGCTACCGGAGTGATTGCGGAGTGATAGAACACTCGCATCCATTAGGGATCTAAAACTTAATGTGAGTTGTGAGTCATTGCAATAGTTTCTCGCCTGCGTTGAATGGTATAAAGTATTCTTCCTCCTCGTGCTTTTTCAGGCAGAGACCGCCACAAGCAAGCTCCTCTGCGCAAGCTCTTCTATCCGTACGGTCGATTCTCCCCTTGACTTCCAATCGATCTCCTGCTTCAACTCTTCCCAGCTCACAACTTTTATACCTCATCGCAACTGGGCAATGCCATGGCGTCCTCCGCGCTTCCAGAGACGCTCCTGTCCGTCACCTCGACAAAAATCCAGGAAGTGAGAAAACAACGCGACCAGTACGAGGTCTCCAAGAAAGAGATCATCCTTGATGCGAAGCCATTGAAGGATGACCTCGAACGCACGTGCAAGCTGTTGATCGGTTCTTGTCGTCAAGCTGGCATTCATGTAGTCAATGACGACTCGTCCGGTTCCGATTCTGATTCCGATGCCACTTCTATTTCTGCTTCTGACCTTGCACGGACTCGTCGAAACCAGCAGCTGTTCCTCCGCCAAGCGGGCAAAGATCCTGCATTCGCCTCTGAGATCGTGCACCAGATCCATGATGAGTTACTGGAGCATCTTAGCCTCAAAAGTGTTCGACATGAACATGCACAATTCTTCTCTGAACTTGTAACCGAATGGCTCTCAAGCTCGCAGGACCCCAAACTACGTCAGTCTGAACACGACGAAATGGAGGACTCATCATTTGAAAGCGTCGGTCGAAAGGAAATGCACGAACAGCGAGCGCAGTGGGAATCCATCGTTTTCTCAATCCCTGAAATTGATAGAGCAGGAATTGAGCGCTACCTTAACCAACTGTTCAAGTCAGATAAGACAACGTCACAGAATTTTGAGAATATTGAGACGTCGACAAGGGCTTTCTGCAACACTCTTCGCTCTACAGCTGAACTTTTCAGTGTAGACGATCTCAAGATCACAATTGCTGGCCTCCTCGGGACTGATCTCTTATCCGATGAGAAGGCTGCCATTTTGAAGTCTTTTCAGAACAATCCTGCAGTTCTTCAAGAAGTTGCCGATGTCCTGAACATGAGATTTACCTCTCTTGATACGTGGAAGTGGACCACCACCAATGGTGCCATCTCTGTCGAACAGCGTCGGCAACTGAACGGAAAATATCGAGTTTTCATGGCTGAGGACATCCTCGATGCGCTTCTACTTCATGCCATCGGTATGAAATGGGCCGTCCACTTCAAGTCCTGCCTCATGCGTTTCTTCCACTCCGCTGCCTGGCGGACTGCAGGAGGAAACATTCCCAAAAATGACCGGGAGCGACGGAGGTACTTCCTGGATGAGGAATCAGCTCCAAGATGCACCATTGAGGCACAACGAAAGGAGCAGTATGGAAAAGATTATTTCATGTCCCAGCTGCCAACCACGGAGGCTCAGGGCTCTCGAGGGTACGACAGTGACGAGGTCTTGACACCGGGCAAGAAGAGTCCAGTCGAAACGAAGCAGGGCCTTCTACATTTGCTCATCACTGAGGCTCTTGTTTCACAACACGTTCGTCCAGGAGTTTCGCGCGCTGTAATTCGTTCAGACTTTCAATGGTTTGGACCCTCCCTCCCTCACGACACCATCTTTGCTGTTTTGGAATTCTTCGGAATTGAGTCGGCCTGGCTGGACTTTTTTAGGAAGTTCCTGCAGGCCCCAATGCGATTCGTACAGGATGGCCCAAACGGTCAACATCACGTTCGTCAACGAGGCGTGCCAATGTCGCATGCGCTCAGTGATGTCTTTGGCGAGGTCATTCTGTTCGTTATGGATTTTGCCGTGAACAATGCTACCCGAACCTATCTCTACCGCCTTCATGACGACTTTTGGTTCTGGGGAACCGAAGATCTGTGCATCAATGGCTGGAAAGCAATGAGCAACTTCGCCTCCGTAATGGGCATCGAGTTCAACAAAGAGAAGACTGGCAGTGTTGTGTTCGACAAGGGCATCGTTTCGCGGTCTGCAGGTGCTCAAATGCTCGAATTTCACCCAGAAGCCGACCGCGGAAGTGAATCATCCAGTGAGCCTCACTTACCAAAAGGGGATGTACGCTGGGGTTTTCTGCGACTAGATGCCAGCGGCGTCCGATTTGTGATAGATCAGGACATGGTCGACGAGCACATCAAAGAACTTCAGCTGCAATTGTCCCATTGCACGTCGATATTCTCGTACATTCAAGCCTATAATGCGTACCTAGCTCGGTTCTTCAGCAACAACTTCGGGAAACCATCCTATGCATTTGGCCGTGATCATCTGGACAACATGATCGATACGTTTGCAAAAATCCAGCAATCACTCTTCCAAGATGGCTCAGTCACTGACTACCTCTCGAAAATGGCCCAGGAGAGGTTCGGTGTGAAGGATATTCCCGACGGAGTCTGGTATTGGCCGGTTCAGATGGGAGGTCTCGAGCTGCGAAATCCACTTGTACCGCTCTACTGCATGCGAGAAACAATGCGTCGAACATCCCAAAATGTTCTGTCGAGATGCCTCGACGCCGAGGAGAGTTCGTACCTCACCGCGAAGTCCCAATTTGACTCAGATATGAGAGTCTACGGGAGAAGGAAGTCGTACTCGTCGGCACTGCCTACCTTTGGCGACAATTTTATGTCGAAAGACGAATACATGAGATACCGCGAGGAACGATCCGCCAACCTGTACAATGCTTATACCCGCCTGCTCGAGATACCTAGCGAGTTTCATGTCCATGCAACTAATCAAATCACCGCATGGCTGGACAAGCTACCCACTCCAACACGTGGTCAGAAACCGTCGTCTTGGGGCATTGTCAAATCATTTTCTTCGATGGATCCGTATTGGAAATGGGTACTTGCAGTGTACGGCACTCAGATCGTCGAAAAGTATGGAAGCATCCAGATAGTGGATGCGGCACAGGTTCCTTTGGGGGTTGTGAGTGTGATGAAGGGGGGCAAAGTTCGATGGCAAGGTTGAACACAAAGAAGTCATGTTTTTGGCTAGTAGGTGAAGCGGCGAGGCCAAATCAGAATCAGGGATTTCTGAAAGTTAAGACACTGAAGCAGTGCAATAACCACCTGGTTGCGTGACAGAAATAGAGGGTGGTCTATGTGGCCCATAGCGGACATTTATCGCTGCCAGTTAACAATTACCGAATAGGATCCTTGGGCGTCAGCTGAAGACCTTTACATCTTAGATTCCGTCGGGGCGAAGATCTAGAAGACCACAATCCCAGCGAGTTTGCGATCTGGTCTGCTGGATTTAACATTGCTTATCGTAAGTCTGGTTTCATTCAGCATCGCTAAATGCAAATTTATGGCAGCAATAGTGGCAAGAACCCTCGGTGCGTAGTTGGCAACCACTGATAACATTCTAGCCTCTCCACGTCTGCCCGCACATTCGCTGCTTCAAGCTTTCGGTCTCGCAATGACTTTGAAGCAGTCTCAATCTTCATTACTGAATGTCATTCTCAAAACTCTTTCACACCTCTCTGAGTCAAAAGCCTCTCGACAAGACAATCAGGTGCCAACTCATCCGCCGAATCATCCCCAACATGCCGCTCACAATGGCATTCAAGCTCTCCCTGTATCAGATCGGGATAGAGCTCGATCGGTCTTCCTAACCCTCCACATGCTATTCCCTCATGAACTCCTTCCTGCTCTTGATCTTTTGGACCGAGGCTTGGTTACAAAACTTGTGGTGGAGCCTCCGGCGTTAAGGACAGACGATCAAGGCGTCGCCGAAGGGAGAAGTTCTGTGGGCGAAGATCGCTCCGTGCTCGAATGCTCTGACCTGCAACTTCGACTTCAATCGAACGAAAAAGGCTGGGAAATCTTTTATATCCGATCATCATCCACTGTGGACAAGCCTATGTCGAAGACACGATTCCATCCTCGCCGCAGAAACACTAGCACGACGGGCTCGATCTACGAAGTCCGTCTCGACAGTTGGAATTGTACTTGCCCAGCCTTCAGCGTCAGTGTGTTTCAGAGCTTGAATCTGCAATTTGATCAAGACTTTAGAGCAAACGAAGATGATGTTGATGTTGGTCGAATCGGCGACTCCAAAAGGAAGATGAAAGATGATTGGAAATTCGGTGGCACCGCCACCATCAAAATGGGCAGAATACCAAGTTGCAAACACCTTGTGGCCGCAACCATCGCGAAAGCTGCTCCGAGTCTGTTCACAGACGGCGTGAAAGAGACTATAGTCTCGAGGGAAGAGATGGTTGCATGGGGAGGGGGATGGGGAGAGCATGTAGGCCCCTGAGACTATAAGAGGAGAGGCACCAAATGGGCCCCCTGCGGTGATAGACGATAAATACTACGGGAAGACGTTACGTATCTCAAAAACATAGTTTGATGGAGTGTCGGGCTGGGAGTACGTGGTATATTTCGCGAAACCAACAAAGCCCAGCACTGAAGGAATGAAAAACTGCCAACATGAACTCTATTTAGTTGAGGCCTACAAACCTATCCGTGTTCTTGTCATGCGAGCAGCAAAGGCGTGCACAGCCATACAAAAGCATACGAGAGAGCAATGGGAAGGTTGTTGAACAGGGTAAAGAGATCAGCTAGACCAGCAAAATACGTGGCAGATTCTATGTTTGACGCTGCCCCAAGTGGAACTGCCTCTGACCCCGGAAAGCCATGTCTTCGACACAATGATTAAAGACGACCAAGGCGGCGTCGATTGCTTGCACATTGGTATCAAGTCTTTTGTGATAATGTACATTGCCCATGCCCAGTTGCAAAAGCGTGCCCTAAAGCCGAGCTTGCCGTTCAAAACGCCCTGCGCGGTGTAAAATCTCACAGATATCTCAGTGTCTAGCTCTTCTTCTTCCCCTTGCCTTTTCCACTGCCAGTCTCTTCAGTTTCCTTCTTGTCCCCGTTCACCGCTCCATTAGGTCCTGCCTTTTTCTCGTCCTTCTCCTTCTCACCCTCCTTCTTTTCAGTATCATCCTTCTTTGCCTCCTTTTCTTCCTGTTGCTGTCGGTTCTGGTTCTTGTTGTCAATCAGGTCATGGAAGGCGGTTATTGCACGGACTAGCGAGCTAAGGTAGATGGTCATCAGCTGATCGTTGGTCTTGATGCTCATGGCCCGAGCCAGCTCGCTATTCTCGATTTGATTCTTGCCATTCGGTCGGGATGCGGGAAGGGTGGTCAAATTAGGGAGGAGATTGAAAATATCTTGCAAATTGCCGAGGATGGCATGGTTGGTGGGAAGTTCGCCATCAAGAACTTTTTGAAGGTATGTGCTGATGTCCCGCAACCGTAGATGGAGGCCTTGAAGAGACTGCAACTGTTGAGTGATTCGGGAAGAGAGTGTGCCAACTGCGACGTCGCGGATGTCTCTGAGAAGATGTTCCACACCAATCTCTTCTGCTTCCTCCGCCTCAATGATCGAGGGGGTATGCACAAATGTCTTGGTTGTGGTCGTTCCATCGTCCTTGATCTCTTCAATCGCAAAATAGGCGTCTGTAGGTACACCGACTTCTTTCGGCTGAACATCGATGATGACAAGGAGAGGGTTCGGTGTGTATTTCTTGAATAGCTCGTTGATCTCGAGATCAGATGCTCGCAGTTTCGGACCGGAATGATACCACCCAATCAATTTTTCTCGCGCATTGACCTTCTTGAACATTTCCCGCATTGCTTCGACATAGTTATGATCCAGGAACCAGACGGATGGATCTTTCTCATCTTCCTCAAATGGCACTGTCACCTGTCAGAGAATGTTCATATTCTACAGTCGCTCGCCAACGAACCCGCAAAACTGTTCGACACTCGAACATTCTTGCCGTCATTTTGACCCAGTAGAACACCTACTACTCGTTTCCGTGTCCCCTTTGCAGACCGGCCGTAGTGATCTGCAGCTGATAAGAGAACTAGTGGAGCGACTGACACTTGTCTGCTAACAAGCGACAGGGTCTCTGCAGTTGTGGCAGGCATGATGGAGAGCTGAGAGTGGCAAGGCGGGGAGGAGGCAGAGGATCGGAAGGAGTGTGTGAACTGTTTGTTGTGCTTGGGCTGACGACTTTTGGTTATTGAACAAAAAAATCGGGAGAACGCAACTATTTGATTGTTCAATTTGAAGGCAGACACCGGACGCGACCAACCTCGCCTGCTTCGATACCAAAATTCGCGTAAGGTCATTTGCTCAGACGTAAATGTCAAGATCCGGAAATTTTGCCGAACAATTTCTCTATTTGGCGGAGATGGTCAAGATACTGCTCGCTGGGTACAGTAGTCCATCGGTGGTTCCTACTCCACACATTGAGGAGGATTGCGCTATATTGGGAATGTGAAAAGTTGAATAAAATTAAATAGAATGGAATCATCAGACATATGCTACCCGGTAAACATGGCAATGCTGCATGCCTATCAAAATATCGACTATTTTCCGTCAAGGTTTCTCTTTGCCTCTGCCCAAATATCGTTGATCAATGCCGCCTTCTTTTCTGATCTTACAGTAATATCGCATTCAAACGGCTGTGGGATTGTCATCCAGCCTGGGACCATCGCGGTGTTTGGCTCAATCAGACTGCCATCTTTGCATATTTTCTTTGAGATGTTGAACGCCCACAAGACACGGGCAATGTTCAAATATAGGGACTTTTCGGCCACATGCACACCCGGACAAACCCGCCTTCCAGCTCCGTACGAGAAGTGGTCGCGCTGGCTGGGATCTCCAATGTTGATGTAGGAGGCGGCCGGTAGATCGTAGCCGAGGAAGCGCTCCGGCATAAACTCATCTGGTTTGTCCCAGTGAGACGGATCGTAGTTTATTGCCCTGTGCATACGTCAGAAATCTTGCGAGGCCATACGAAAAGTAGACTCACCACCAGTTCAAGACAACCACTGTGTCTTTGGGGATGAAGTAGCCCTTGAACCAGTCATCTTCTGTCGTGTAGTGTTGCATGCCAAATTTGTTGGGTGGACGGGTGCGAAGCAATTCCTTAATCATGGCTCTGAGATAGGGTAGATTTTGCTCGTCTTCCCATGTAGGCAGTCTGTCTTCTCCAACTACTCGATCGACCTCTTCCTGAGCCTTTCTCATGATATGAGGGTTCAGGGTCATAGTCAAAATCCAAGAGTTCAAGAACGCCGATGTTGTTTCGGAACCAGCCTCCACCAGGCCACCAGTTTGATACGCTGCTTGGAGCTGGTCCAACCCGAGTTTTTTGGGATCGCTCAGGTAAAAGTCCTTCGCAAAGCATGGATTGGCTTTCCCTTCGTCTACCTCTTTCTTCAAATCGCCCCAGAGCTTAAGATAGACAACCGAATCATGAGCAAAGCATTTCTCGCCGAATTTCCGCCAATTACCAAACATCCATTGGGGAAAATATCGCAGTGAGGGCCACGTGTCAACGAGGAAGGCACCAGGAGCGGAGAATTGCTGCAGGTTGTTGACCACACTGTAAATCTTCTTCACCAATGGATTGTCCCAATCTGCCATCCGATGACCATATGCCACGGTAAGGATAACGCTTGACGAGTAGCGCCGGTTGTGATCATAAAAGTGTTCTGGGTCGTGGAGCAGATCGTACATCAGTTGCTTGGATTCTAGATCTTGAATGGGTTGGTAGCTGGTGGAAACGGTGATGTTAAGGAGCTGGTGAGCAATCTTTCGGACAACACGGTATTTGGGTCCATATGGCATAAACAGTTGTCGTCGACCAGCGGATGCGACATCGCTGGCAAGCGGCGCTGGCGGTCGTGAGGAGTATATTCCAGATTTCTTGTCCATCAATTCCTTTACCGCAGTGGGAGATGACAAGTAGATGTAGTCAGCTCCTCCCATCTTGGTATAGAAGATCTCACCATACTCCTTTGCCCACTTTTGCGCCTGAAATCGAAACGTTTCAGCCTTGGACATTTCAAAGAAGTTCCCAAGGAAGGGCAAACCACGAGGACCTGGCGGAAGGTGTTTCCGTCGTGAGTCTTTCAACGTGCTCGGTGTGACCCATAGGTAGAACCCGATAACGAACAGCAGAGGGAAAGCGACAAAGGTTGCCAGTACAAATTTGACGAGTGAGGCATTCTCGAGTCCTATTGAGCAGAGCATAGGGCTGGCGGCCATGATGATTTCCCTCTTTCCTAACTGTGACAAAGCTCTCTTCCAAACCTAGGGCTTCAGAATGTCAAGGAGAGTGTCGATATCAACAGGGTCAAGGAGCCACCACACTTCGCGAGAAAACTACCCAAAGACAATGGAGAGTGCGAGGGTTTTCAAGGGCAAGATTGAGACCCCAGGTTTGGAACTGAACGCAACCCCTCATTGGTGCACTGTACGCAATGTCAGAGCATCTCAGATCTGAGAGATGGACTCGTGGGACTTGTAGGATTTCCCCATGGAGAGTGGAGGGCCTCCACATGCTGTGCAAACGCAAGGTGGAGAGGAGATGGGAAAATAGCCAAGATTATCGGGGACAAGGAGTTGGGGAAAGGAGGCGAGGTGTTTTGGGAACCCAGTACCGAGTAGATGGTCATGTGCTCCGTGCAAGAATGTGGGCTGTACACGAAATTGGTGGTTGGATGTATGCATGCATGCATCGTATTCAAGGAACTTCAGACATCATACTTGAAAAAAGACGGCACTGATGTTGCACTCATTACCTGTTATGAAAATGTCTTCAATTCCTAAATTCAACAGAAATGGACATGACGAAAGATATGCAAAAACTATGCTAGCATACATGAGTTGCATTACCAGAATCCTCCCATTATTTACTTCACCGCTGTTGCTGCGTGCAATTACTGATGACTTGGGATTTTGGTCATTTAATGCAGGCGACGGTGGGAATATCGCTTTCGGTACTTGTTAATGTCGATCTTAGCATCCGGGCGGAAGAGCTCGATATCCAACTCATCTGTATATCCACGAGCCTTGAGACCGGAATTACCAGAAAACTTGGCACCTTCGGGGTTGGAACCCTCGTAGGTATCTAACGCTGAACACTCATCCTCAAATGACTGATCAACGTATTTCTTGGCAGGGATGTCGTCAGGTCTCTCAATGAACTGAAGAGCAAGACCGCCATCGACGTGCCAGGAAATGTGGCAGTGCATAAGCCAGGCGCCGGGGTTGTCAGTCTCGAATCCGATGACAGTGTAACCAGCAGGGAAACCCACACCCGGAGAACCTTGCAGCATGACAGTGTCACGACGCATGGGGCTGTCGAAGTTGAGAGAGCTGACCATGTCAGAGGTGAAAGTTCCGGTGCCTGTGCCAAGGACAGAGACGTCGTGACCATGGACGTGCATAGGATGAGAGGCGAAGAACTGGTTCTGGATGACAAAGTAGACCCACTGGTTGGCCTGGTTAAGAACAACAGGGTTGCTAATGAGGCTGTTGTTCCCTGATGAACCCTCAGCCAAAGTCTTGAGAGTAGGCTGGCTCCAGTTGACGTTGATAACGGCGTTGTTGATGTACCACTGGAATACAGTTCCATCGTCATTGGTGGCAACAGAGGTAACGGAACCAGCAGGGATGGTGGATGCAGAGCCCTGGAAGGCGGTAACAGTGCCAGCGGGCTTCTCAAGGTAAGGCACCAGGGAAGCAAGAGGCTCATCCTGGCAAATGTTGGCGGTGACATTGGTAATCGGAGTTGAGATGACAGGGGTGACAGGGGTAGCATTTTCGTAGTTGATGATTGCATTGGCTGTTCCCAGACCAGAGTTGGCGCCACCAGAGGGACATCCAGTTTGGATTACAGCGCGAACATAGTAACTACTGGGTGCTTGGTCCATTTGCACAATCACATCATACCGTTGACCTGTTGCAATTTTGAGGGTGGTGGTCTTGTATGGCACAATGGGTACGAAGTCAGCAGCAATGACAGTCATTGTGTGATTGTCGAAGCCAACAATGTAGCTGTTTTGGGCAGAGCTGCGAAGACTTTAGGCAATATTCTTGTGCAGAGAAGACAAAACTAACCTGTTAATAATGCGGAACAAGTGCTTCTTGCAAGGCTTGACACCCCAGGAGAAAGGAGTTCCACCAGGAGCAGTTCCGTCAGGATTCTTGTTCTTGCCATTGAAGAGGGTGTTGAACGAGCCGCCGGGTCCGACGTGAGCGATACGAGATGCCATAGCGGCTGCGGTGATAGGGAAACTATTGAGGTTAGCCAACCGAGCCTGTTGAGCACTGGTAATAACTCACGTATCATCGATCATGACCGTGCCCATGTCATAGTCATAGTCGGCGGTTGCAGGTCCGTGTATGACGATAGGGCCTCGGATACCATCACCATACTGGGCCATGGTATGGCTGTGATACCAGGAGGTGCCATAGGAACTTGCAAGCCATGTGTACGTGCGACTGCCACCGTTTCCGGCAATACCACATTCGGTAACACCAGGAACACCATCTTGGTCATTGGTATTGAACTGACGGATACCATGCCAGTGGATTGATGTGCTGTTATCTTGCATTTGGTTGATCACGGTGACCTCGACCATGTCACCCCAGTTGGCCTCAATGACAGGGCCCGGTACTTGGCCATTAATAGCAAGAGCGAGTTTGGGACCAGTGCCATCAAACACCAAAGTGGTGTTGGTGATTGTAAAGGTGTATTTGCGGGTGACACCGGTCCTGTAGTTACCATAATAATCGCTGTTGATATCCTTATTGTCGCACCAAACGGATCGATCAGCAGCAGAGTTGCAGTAATCATCCGTAGCATTTTTAACGGGAGTATAAGTCGGACAGGAGCCAGAGCTTGCGGTTGAAGTCGCTGAAGTGGTAGGGGTGTAGCCGCTGCTGCTGGGCGAGTTCGTTGGCGAACTGTAGCTATAGCTGCTAGTAGGAGTCGATCCCGATCCACCGCCATTATTTCCACTCCCGCCAGTTGTTGAAGGGCCAGAGCCTTCTGCTGTTGACGGAGTGGAACCATGGCCACCATGGCCACCTTTACCCCACCCGTTGTCGGCGCTGGCACCAGTAGCAGTGGCAGTGTTCCAGCCGTGTCCAATACTGTATTTGGACTTTTGTGCATCCCAGAGCGAGGCCCAAACATTCTCAGCCCCGTTGTCTCCATGGCCAGGGTGCCAGCCGTTGTCAGCGCCCACATCCGTCGGGCCCGAAGCGTCGCATGTGAGGACCTGTGTCACTGGGCAGACCGTGTGAGTTCGTGTAGAGGTTGCTGTGACAGTCACATCGGCAGAGTCCCAGTTTGATGCACTTGCAAGACCAGCCGCAGCAGCGGCGAAAAAAAGAGGAAAAGAACGCATGATTGAACGAACGGACGCAGGCAGATTTGCCTGCACAAAGGAGTGACTTGAAGGAAGATGTTGCGTGCGAGGGAAGAGAGAAAAAACAAAGCAAGAAGAGGCGCGGGTAGGGGTTGTATATTACCTCACCTTTGGCCATTTGGGGGCTGCTTCACCTTCCCATCCAAGATTGGCCAGCCTGATCGGCCAGTCGCGAAGCCATGGCTGGTGGGCTCCCGAAGCCAGGATGATTGCCTCCTATGCCATCGAGCATAGTGAGTTGGGGCAGACTGTCTCAGTTTAGCATAGTGGAGAGCATGTTGGATTTCTGTTGGTTGAAAAGAACGGGCACAAGCGATGAGGATCTTTTGGTGACCTTTCAACGATGGGCCCTCAAGCGAGATGCCAATCTTTGGACACGGGTTCCGTATCAGCCACATCACGCCAGAAGGGTAGGATCGCGAGCGTTGCAAGCGCTCTACTTACGCCGTAGCAGGGCAAAATGTCACGCCTGTCAATCACGGGCGGAGGGGCGTTGTCGAGAAAAGCATGGTGTCAGGGGTAGCTCTGTGCCGGAAAGGGAAAGGTGTCATGGACAATGGGCTTGCTCGAGGGCTCCAGAATTCGCCAGTGCTTGCGCCGGTGGAAATTGGAACTGATGTTTAATTTTTGAGCTTCTTTCCAAGGCACGGCGCCCGCCAATTGCTTGAAAGCGCCAATTCTCGGGGGTGGAGTCTAAGCAGTTTGAAGGGACAAAAGCCTGAATGCGAAACAGGGGAGGTCAAGAGGATGCTGAGGTCAGGATTCAGGAGGATCGAGAAGGAGAAATTGAGCGTGAGACCGCTCTTTGAGCGTAGAGGCGAGCACAACGAGACAGGTGCCCGAGTACCCAGTACGAGCGGCAGCACGTGTTTCAACGCCAAGATGCTCCCCGTTTTAGCTGCTATTGTGGTGCACAGCATTTGCAAGTACTGTACGAGCAATGTTGATATCAACCTCACAGAGTCTGAGCACAGCTCAAGATCAAATTATCCATTGTCACACCTCGCGATGCAGATCCCTGGGGCAGTAGCACATGAAAAGCTTCTGCCGACCTTCTTTTCGCGTCTCATGTTTTCATATTTGAGCGCGACTGATCGCCATTTGGAGGATTACTTTGTAAGGATTGTCGACGCTTTCGCCCCCCATTGATTCTATGGCCAAGGAAAAAAAAATTCCTTCCTGTGATTGTTCTCCTGTGAAGATCCCACCCCGCCTGAGTGCTGACTTCTGACTGCCAATGCAGATGGAATGACATATCAGGGCGGAGCTCCAGGGCCAGCCTGCACTGATTCCCCGTCCCCTTCAACCTGTTTCTAGTACGTGCTCTAGGCAAAAAAATTGAACAACTACGGAGTAACGACCAGCAAGAAAGGGACACTTTCTACTATCTGGAACAAAAAGAAGAAAATAAAGACATCACCCGCCACACATGCCTGTGTCTCATGATGGGCGGTAGCAAGACAAGAGCTGAGCCAAGTGCGGGAGTACGGAGTAATATACATGGTGCTTTGGCTGTTTTAAGACCAGGAAACAGGATCTGGCACTCGGTAAGATGCCGCCCTTCAGCCCTTCAGCCTCCAGCCACGAGTAACTCATCCGTGCCCAATTTAGACCCCTGACACTGACCTGGCCAAGCCTGGCCCACATAGGCTTCGGGTTACCTAAGAATAACGAAGAGAATTCCACTGGCGGCCCCCTCTGCAATGCGTGCCTTTCTCCGTTTGCTGATCGCTTGTTAAATTGGAGGTGATGCTCGATGCAATTGACGGGAAGGAAAGCCGTGCCCGTGAATATTACATATTGTTCTCAGACCAAGTGCGCACGTGGCTGTTGTTTATCACAATTGGTAACGGAATGAAGTCTGCTTTGAAGCCGGTCCCCACAGCCTCTGTTTTGCCATAAGACTGGGTGCCGTATCCCGTTCTTCGCAAGTCTAAAGGGGGACTTTAAACTTTCAGAGGAGCAAAACTAAGCCGCACCGGAGTTCCAATGGCCATCTCGCTACCCCACTACCAATTTCTCCCCTACTCACAATGCTCATTATCCTACTCGCTCTGAGGCGGTCAAGTTTCGTCCCCGCATAGACTGGGAACCCCAGTCCTCCTCGTTTAACGCCCTGAGCGGTGAACTTCGTACTCCGTAATACATGCCTACACTTCCAGAATGGTGTTTCCTACGTTTCACCACTAGGTTCTTCGGTCTCTACGGAGGAATCTTCCAGACGAGTGGGTTTGGGTGTACGCGACGATTACAATGTCGAATCCCTTTTCCGAGTTTTCCATTCTGCAACTCCTTTGCTGAATGGACATATAGGACATGATCGTTTGAGCAAGACGACACCTTTCGGAAGCCAAACAATTGTTCATCATGCAACTCCTAGCCCTACAGCCCATGCCCATCCATTCCCTGCATTATTCTGCTTGTGGGACTTGGTAGAATCTATTTAATCTAGTACTCTTCGCTAAGTCTGTTGTCTTTCACGACTGCCCACCTTTGATGCCAACAGAGGCGCTAGGACGAGGACGAAGGTGTCGAAAAGAGCATGAATCAAACGTACATGAACAGGAGAGGGATTGCAGTGGTACGACAAGTCCTTCAACTAGCACCCGGAACTCCTTCCAGGAAGCCAGTTGAACTTGACGGCTGCAGAAGGTCGCTCGATTTCGTGAGAGGCATCCTTTCGGTGACTGGGCAGCTTATAGACTCGAAAAGATACGCGTCAGTACCGTCGCTGCACTAGTAGCTGTGCTCGATAGCATATGCAATGGTTGTTTCCTGTCATCGCGGTGAGGAGACCCTTGGTGCCCTTATGCTCTTTCGCATCAGGAGGATGGCAGGTAATGGAGAGAGCAAGTCTTCGTCCTCGACGCCCCTTCATTGTGGAGCCAATGGGATTAGTCTCAGTGCTCAATCCAGCGACTCGCAGAGTAAAATCGCAAATTTGAAGACCAAAATGGTGGGTGGTTAATAATTGTTTCCTAGATCATGTTAGAACGGCAGGCTGCTGGGGGTCCATGAAAAGCCCAGGGAACAATATAACGTCAAGCCATCAGAGGTCACCACCTGTTCCAGCTCAACACTTGGCCGAAGATCAAAGGACGACCTTGCGGTTCAACATGTTGATATGGCCGTAGAGATATTGAACCTCTCAGTCTGGACTCCAACGTCAGTGATCGACTTAGCATGGGAATTTGCATAACAGGCTGAAATTCCCTCCGATGCCGTCTCGCTAACATTAAGACTGCCCCGTTGATATTCATGATTCAGACGCCAGATCCATGTTACCTATGTGATAGGCGCCGAAACTTGGCTTCACTGACAAATATCGATGGTGGGAGAAACACGGCGGCGAAAGAACAGCAGTGCAACGATGCACCTTTTATAAGATGTCTGTCCACAGTTTTCGATGTAGCTGCAAATGGCTGCTGGACACTTCGATTCGTTGCTGCCTATTACTCGCCTTGCGCCCTCGACATTAACGATGCTGGCTCCTGGATCCCAAGTTCGCACAGATGATATCTATATCATGTTTAACACGAATCAGAGGGAGTTGTGTAATGACCATTGACGCGTGATGCAGCTATGATATCGGTTTGTGCAACGAACTAGAACAGGGGCGACGGCCGTCGTCTTGTTGTCAAAAAGGTGATGAGCGATAGAGTCAAGGATTTATCATATGTGAGAGCAAGCTGGAGCGGAGGCAAAGGCAGTACTAGGTAGGATCTTTGCGGCTGATAAAGGCCAGTTATTTACCTCAGCTCATACGATCTTCCTGGAAAGACTTTCCGGTTTACCTGCCAGCTGGGTGGCTCTCCGTGTCGACCCCAAGTGTGATGAGGAAACTCCATCCGGACATACGCTTGGTGCTCTGTTCTCCACTGAAGTGACTAATCAGGTATCCTTTCATACTGTACCCTTTCCCATCAACTGCTTATTCTTTTTGACCTTGCGGCGTTGGTTGCCTCGCTCCCTTCAAGTGGAAGATCCTCCATTCCCACTGGCAAATCGGCCGTAGATCGCTGAAAATTAACCCAATTTCAACGGCTGTTCGTCCGCAAGACACAACTTATCTTAGATGTTTGAGTCCACACCTTGTCAAGATACGTACAGCTCCAATTCTGTGACTCTCTTGGTCGACGCCAGAAATGCGGACTTCACATCCTTGCGACGGCTGCGCGTTGAGGCGCGTGCGATGCTCTGGGGGACAACCCTGCTTTGAGTGCAAGCACCGATCTGTTTCGTGCACATTCCTCCGCGTCCGTCGGAAAAGAGGACCAAAAGGCCCTAGACCGTGTACCAATATGAGAATCGAAGAGTTCCAAAGGATGCTGAAGGCCAACAGCGATCAGCAATCTCTTCCTACGCCGCCCGAAGAATCTATCTTGGGGGCCGCAGTCGAGAGTCATCTTGCACCAACGCATACCCCTGGCATTTCTTTACTGGTTTATGAACGCTTTCTGGAGGTTTTCCACCTACGCTTATACTCGGTTTGGCCGGTTGTCTCCTATGATGAACTCATCGCAGCCCTAAGGAACAATCAAGAAGACTATGAATCATACTCCCTTGCCGCGGCTCTATGCGCTGCTGTCATTGCTCAATTGCGACTGCCCGAGCATATTGTGCCTTTCAATGCCGTTTCTTCCTCTGAAATGGTGGCAGAATCTCAAAGGCTCAGACAGCTTTTCGAGTATCAAGAAAATTACTCGATGACATCTCTTTTAACCTCGTTCTTCCTGCATATCTACTTTGCAAACGCTGAGAAACTCCGCACGGCCGGATTCTATCTACGAGAAACTCTTACCTACGCACACGGCCTCAAATTACACCAGCCCGACAATTATGCCGACATGAACTTCAGGGAGCATCAATTGAGGCTGCGAATATACTGGATTTTGTTTGTCTCCGAACGGTCAGTGGGACATACTATATAGACTTCACATCATTGACCAAAAGCACAGAACATATTGTGTCCAGAATGGGTTGCCAACTACATTAAGGCCGATTAACGAGTTTCCGAGCGCCGATCCCATAGAGGGATATGACGGTGCTCCGCTGCCAGCATTCATTGCTCTAATACGATTGTTCACCTTTCTTGATGGCGATATCCTCGAGCCCACACCCTCGTCAGCCACTGTTTCAATTCAGGGAGCGCCAAAAAATCAGATATCAGCCCTCCAGCATGATCTCACCCATCATCCACTTAGTGAAGAGCTAGATGAATCGCAGAGGGTGGATATACTCGCCACTCGGAATTGGATTCGGATACTGCTCTGGCAGTACACAATTACCCACTTCCCGGTGTCATGTCATGCTAAGGACCAGGCCTTCTCGGCATTGCTTCCGGCGGCAATTGCACATGACACGCTTTCCGTACTTGAAAAAGTGTCTTGGAAGTCCATTCAGCCTCATGGATATGGCATGGTAAGTAGTATTAGACGATTCTTTTGTTCAGAATATAACGTCATATAGGAACTCAAGATATTTCGAATAGCGGACTGCTTGTTGGACGTCCTCCTTTGCGCGCCTAACTCAGCCGGGACGCGAGGTCTGCTGATGGATTCAAGGCAGTCCCTGCACTTGCTGGAGAAGGTTCTTGCTGACTTTGGGGGGACGGACTCGCATTTCTTCGCTACATTGCAGAAAAGGATGGTCAAGTCCCAGCTTCCTGTCCCGCATGCATTGCAGAATGACCTGCAAATTTCACAATATTCCGAAGCTGACGAGAAAAAGATGTCTACGAATGGGACACCTGATATTAGTAACGGTCTAGTCGGCCAAACGGAATGAGAACCGTCACGATAATCGATCGAGCATTCATGAGAGAGAATCCACCTGGCCGCATTCACCTGTGCGGGTGCCAAGGACATCCTTCCGTCACTCTCCTCAACACACTTTACTTTATCACTACAGTCGTTCACCCACACACTCCCTATACTTTCATAGCCGCGGGAGCTCCAGCGGCCAGAATAATCCTGGACACAACATCAATGACTTGTTCTAGCTAGGCTCAACCTCGAGCAATGGCGAAAGGAATCTTAGCCACGACACATCTGACACGTGTATGTGTTGGGGTGACGCGAAAACTGAGGTCTTCAAGGGGTGGGGTCATCCACTTCGAGATGGATGGAGGCTGGGAATGGACATTCCGGCTTGAAGGCGTCATTAAAACTAGCCTCGGTGCTGGAGGTCCAATTATTTCGTCACTGCAAGCAACTATATATGAGGCCAGCTAATTTTGAAAGGATTTTGTTAGGAACTTGCTGTGTCAAAACCGATGGCCGCTACGATGGGTGCAAATGGCAACGACGTACCCACGGGAACGAGGATATTTTGGGAGGCGACAATACCGTGAAAAAAGAGATTTAGAGAATAGCCATCGAGTAACACAATGTTTGACTTGACTGAACGAGGATATATTCAACTCTTTTAACAGCCTGAACCATTCAAGTCGGGACGTGCTAGTGGTGTGCTCAACGGCTACCACTTTCAGACCCTTCCCTTATGATTCGTACTTAGATGGATAATTTCGCACTTCCTTGGTTGCAGACGAGGAGATGGATTGATAGATGTTAGCACATTCATCTTTTACGTTAGTGGTGTTAACTCTACTATATTTACCAGGATATATCTTTTGCAGTATAGTTTCCGATTAATGCACTGAGTAAACAATTGAGAATGGGTAAAGATTGCCCTACGATAGAGCTCTAGCGGCTTCTGATACTGTCGTCTAGAAATCTCAGCTTATTTGTCCGTGAGACTTAGTATTTAGACGTATATGCTCAGTTGTTTTATAAGCCCGGCCCTTATGTTGCCAATTCTTCCACCAGAGCTGACAAGGCTGTACGGATGACTTCCTACCATCCAGGATAGATCCCGGGCCTCAAACCGAACTCCGGACTAATGCTCTAGTAATATGACTGGGGATGAAAGAGGTTAAGCGAAGAAGCGTTTATCTTTATCTTCGTTTGTAGTACGGAAATTGGTGCGTCGTGACATTTAGGTAGGTATTGGTAGGTAGAATACGACAATCGCCTCTGACGTAGGTGCACGGCAGTCTGAGCGATGATTGGGCAACCCCTACAGAGGTAATAACGGTAGAAGCAATGACGTCGTAATTTCGTTTCGTATAACAACTTGAATAACCAGCCTATTGCTAACTTTTATCCGGAAATTATTTATTGATCCTTACGCTATCCAAGGATCCTACAAGCCTACAGAAGTTTCATAAAGATATATATTGAACGTTAGAAGGAACAAACCGGAAGCAACTAAAGAATCAAGGGCTAGGACGACCAGAAAGCAACGATGGAAGTGATGAAATCCGTGCTTAGCGGCGGCAAGAATGATAACAGTGGCGACGACGGCGCACCCAATGATAACAACGAGCAGTTTCCGAGCAGAGAGGAAAAGCTTAAAACCATTGAGAGCCTTCAGAAGGCCCAGAAAGCTCAATCCACAGCCAACGACCTGAAATCAAGAGCTTTGGCACTTACGGACTCAAAACAACGCGAGAAAATGCTGAAGGAGGCATTCGACAAGGAGGTAGAAGCTCATGGACATAGCAAGATGGCGAGGCGACTACAAAGTGGTACCTGGCAAGGCTTCGGATTCGGGGGAGGGATAGGCGCCGCCACTGGATTGGGTCTCGGCGCGGGAGTGGGAACGGTTTTAGGTGCGGTGGCAGCGGTTCCTACAACAGGATTAGGTATGTTAATTGGAAGTGGCGTTGGTGCTATTCATGGACCATGGGTAAAGCTGGGTGGGAAAGAGGAGAAGTTTGAGGACGCTGATCCTGAAAGGGTGGTCGACGCACTCGAGCAGGAGGTGAGCCAACAGAACAAGTCACAAGTCGACTAGACACCAGTGGCAGCAGTGTCAGAAACTGGGCCGGCACAGCATAAGGCAAACATAGAGGAGAAGCCGCGAAGAAAGCCGCTGAAGTTGGAAATTAGATCGAATCAATCTACAGAATCAGGCTAGTAACTTAGTATGGTAGACAAGATTCAGAGTACGAGCATTAAAGAAGAGTCAACACCAAGGCGAAGACCGAAGAAGTTAGAGATACGATCTAGGAAAGATAGTACCGCTATAGCATCTAATAAATAATCCAGCTAACTATTAAAGCTGGTACCTCGTCATCTAATAGAATTAGATTCCTTAGTAGTAAATTCTTATAAGTATAGAACTAAGTGAAGAAAGCGTACGGTATAAGTAGTTATATTTCTAAGAACGATATAGTTCAGTAGATAATATTGTAACAGAGCACTTCAGGGTTCGGCGTGCACGTGTAACAACGCACAGAGGCCTGTCTAGCAGATCGGGAATCGAGAACGCGTTTCTAGTTAATACTGATAAGACATCACCAACACCACCCAGAGGGGCAGCGACTAGGGCTATAAACACCTAGCACAGCGGCAGTATCGAGAAATAGGACAGGACTAATAAAACACTTAAGAATAGACTAACGGCATTCTTATATACCTAGGGAGCCTAGGGAGCTCACAGTCGCTCACAGCTCTTATATCTAGACTATAAGCCTCTATAGATCATCTATTTTTAGTAGCTTTTATAATATACTTATTATATAATATTATTAAATTTAAAAAGGTCTTTTCTATTTCGGAAATAAGATTTACGCTAAAAGCGAATAACTTACTAAGTCTTTATCTTAGTAAATACTAACGCTATTAAGCTAATAATTTAAGATTTAGTTCGAAACCTTATATTTTATATATATCTACTTTAATTCTAGTGTAACAGAGCACTTCAGGGTTTGGCGTGCACGTGCAACAACGCACAGAGGCCTGTCCAGCAGATCGGGAATCGAGAACGCGTTTCTGGTTGATACTGACAACAACACCACCAACACCACCCAGAGAGGCAGCGGCTAAGGCTACGAACACCTAGCACAGCGGTAGCATCGAGGAATAGGACAGAACTGATAAAACACTCTCAGGATTTAGGTAGACGGCACTAAAAGCCATGGAATTTATAATACTCTGCTCAATCTGTAAAAAATGAATGGCACACTGCCAGCACTATAAACTATTCCGCATCTCCTCTCTACCAGCTCATTTAGATTTGATATGTGACTAGATAACTTTTTCATCTTGCCACCGCTCTACCAGCTCAGCACAGCTCATCACAATATAGCTACCTTACCTTATTACATCTCTCTCTCTCTTATTTATAGAACGACCTCGTTCGATAGTACATAGTATACTTAAGAATTGTCTAACTCTATTATTACCTAGAGAGCGGGTCCGTAGTACTGTGAGAAGAAGCTCGTAATGAGGATAGATTCTTCTCTCTTATTGAGTCTAGAATACGAACTAAAACATCATTAATAGATGTAATAGATCTACTCGGTCTATATAAGGACACCGAAGACGCTCTTAATATTTCGCTTTAATAATCACTCTATCTTAGGATCGAGTCTATTTCTATACTAATATTGCTCAGTGGCTCTAAGGTTCGCTCTTAGAATTCTTCTTTAACTAACTAAGTAACGCGAGGAAAGAGAGAGTTCACTCTTAGCGTTGAGATTCTATTCTAAGGGTCATTACTATTATATTCTAAACTTATTCTCTCTTCGCTATATAGATCGATATAAGCCTATAATATCTAGTTCGTATTCTCTTAGTTAATGAGATCAACAATACTTTTATCTAAAGTGATCATCACAATAGACTTTAATAGCTATCACTCACTAGTTTCTACGCGAGACGACCATAATAATGATATCTTTTTATTTCTAATAATAGCTTAATAAATATTCTAAATAAGTTAAACTCGATGGGAAGTATCGATTTTAACTTCTTTAATAGCTTTAATACCGTTTTTCATAAGAGCTCTAGTCTAAAAGATAATAAATATTCCGTAATTATAGTTATTTAGTTATTTATTAACATTAATATTCTAAAATGTGAACTATTTACCGTCTTTAAGCTTTGCTCGAACTTAAGAGTTGAGATACTCTAAAATAATCGAAATCATTAAGTCTTTTACCGTGCGCTTCCTAATCGAATCTATAGCGTAAACGATTCGAGAATCGAGATCGACGTATATTAACTACTAATAGTTAATCTCTCGATAGAGAATTAGCTTCTTCTATATAAACTTATCTTATCGCTACGATCGCGGCTAGATTATAAACGTAAATATCCCTCGAACGTTATATAGGTAGATTACATTTCATTCGTCTTTCACTTAGTGCTTTCGATAGGCCGCGATATCTTTAATAACGTAATCTATAAATAACTAATCGTTATAATTCGCACTAAGTAAAAGATGTTTTAATTCTTTCTTATTAATTATATATCCTTCCGAGTAATAATTTTCGCCGCGAAGAGATTTCTTTACTTCGCGACTATGCTCTTTAAATTTCTTTAAAGCGTCTTAAATTCGCTAAATTTCTAACGTACCTTTTTTAGTCTCTACTCTTTCTATGATTTAAATTACTTCGAGAGTAGCGTAATACTAAAGAGATTACCTCGAACTAACATTAGTCGATAATACTTCGATTAATCTTTGAAATGCTCGTATAATAGCTTTAAATCCGTATTAAATCACTTTATTCGCTTATCGTTTCGTTAAAGTATCTTTATCGATATTATACTTAACTCTCTTAAACTAGTCTATAATAATCTTCTATACTAGTCTTTCTATATTAGAAGGATTTCTTAATAAGTTTTATTTATATAGTCTCGTATTAAAGGGCGAAGATAACTCTTAAAACTCTCCACGAAGATATTTACTATTGGTAATAATTTCTTTAGCTTCCGTAAACGCTTATTCGGTGGACGAGAAGTGTATTCGCTTAGAAGCTCTTACTTCTATCTCTAAAGATATTCTTAGAACTAACGGTATTAATCGCGATCTTTTTCTAGGCTAAATCACTATTTTAATATATTCGTTTCGAATTTTTAATTACTTTTTAGTCGCTTTCTTAATTACGACTTCTTTTTCTTTAATTTTAGTAAGCTTTTCTATTATAGACTTATTCTTAAAGTAATCTAGAATATTTCGCTTCTAATATCTCTACTCTTCTTCCGGTTATTTCTTAGGTACGGTCGGTAAAAGCGGAGATTTTATCGCTTATTCTTAGAAGTTCTTTAACTAATTCTCGGTCTCGTCTTTCGCTAATATCTTACTAAATCTCTTCTCTATAAATTTCTTAGTAGGCGGTTTTATAGTTAGTTTCTTTCTTATAATGAGATTCTATTCGACCTAATTAATTTAGCTAATCGGTACCCCTAGGAGACCCTCGGTAAGAATTAAATTATATATATTTAGTGACTCTATATTATTTAGTTAGTGTAACTTATTCTTTAACTAAAGATAATATTCTAAACGCGTAGCTATAACTTATAAATGCCCATAATCATTTATGACGTTTCTAAAATCGTTTAGATTCGATTATACCGTAAAGATATCGATTCGTTACGGTGCTAGCTAAGAAAACTTTGCACCCGTGAGACCGGCCAGTCGTTTTATTATTTAATGATTAATTCGACGCAATATATTTATGAGTGTCTCGTCCCGCAGCTTAGGCGCTATTCTTATACACTAGAGCTTCTTTAGTGTATACGCTATATTGCCTAACCACTATATTACGATACCTTTCTAAAATTCTTCGGTTATTCATTACCTAAACTTTCGGCTAACCGTATCTCTACCGCTCGTATTCTTTAGAAATAGAGCTATATTTTAGCTTTTAGTATAATTAATATCTTTAATGAATCTTCTCTTAATTTCGTTATACTTATTTCGGTTATTAATCGCTTCTTTAATTAATACTTAAAATCTTTTAGTCTTCTTATCTTTAATTACTTTATTTTTAAATATTATCTTTAATTCTTGTTTAAAGGACTTTGAGAACTATCTAATGTATAGATAGTAAGGCTCATATAGATCGTAAACCTTATAGGTAGATAAGTGACTATTAAAGAACTTAAAGATAACTATTTACCTAGGGAGAGTAAAGGTCTTTATATAGATAATAAGTGTCCATAGTTAAGATTCTTAAAATGTTAATTTTAAATTAACATTAGTAAGCACGACTAATCATTTAATAAAGTGCGAAATTAATATCGCATTAGTCACGTAATTTCATAGACCCTAGGTCTAAATACGAACTTAAACTTCGTATTTAATTACGTAACTAAAGATTTAAGATAAACCTTTAGAGGGCGATATTCCACAATTCTAAATCGCCTTTAATATAATTAGCGATTTTTAGCACGAACTTTTCACTTAATTATTGTATTCTTTCGACTATTTAGATGGCTTATTTAACCTATTCGGTTACGTCGATTCCTTCTTTACGGTATAATACTAGTATTTCCCGTGGTGGTTTTTAAATCGAGAAATAACGAGGATGCGATATCTAAATATTTAATGCTATAGCCGTATTAAGAGTAATGCCTTTAAAACCATAAATGAGTTACGTTCCGACCATTATATTAGGTCTTTATAAGGGAGCTTAGATTACTCACGGACTAATATTAATAGTGTCTTATCTCCGAATCGCCACTTACTACTGCTAATATAAGGGCGTTGGTGTGAACGGATCTAGTAACGAAGTAATATATTAAGGCGTTTACGGAACTTATCATTACGATATTATTAGTGTAGAATTAGGCGTAAGCCCTTACACGCGACGAGATCTTCGCGAAGTATCTTAATTACTTATATTACTTAAAACTATTTATAAATAATTAAAGCTTAGTTTTCTTAATGAAAAATACACTAAATAAAGCTATAAAAATGGTGCAGCGTTGTTTTTCGAGGTCAATGAAGATATCCTTTAAATATTCGTTAGGAACGAAGAGAATTAAGTAATTACTTAACGAAAT